TAGTCCACTAATTTAAATAGCAGCCTGTGGACCACGTGGATAAAGACATGACCTCAGAATGGCCCAGTCTGTGGTAACTTTAAACTAAAAAAGATTCACTGCATTAGAAAAGACTATGACTGGAACACTGGCCTTAGCCTGACACCATGTAAATCCCAAGTGTTTCAACAGTTTGTATGGAAGTGTTGGCAGTTCACATTAATGGAGAAACCAAAAATGTACAATTAACTTTGTATGGACAAAACAAAACTCTATAATACTATTTTTTTCACAAACCAAACCAAAGTGGGTAGTTTGCAAAAAAAAAATGTCTTGCCCACAAAATATTTAAATATATGCCCATTCTTCTTATAATAATCGTTATCATTCATATTGTTTTGTCGGTCAAAATTAATCGTTATCATTCATATTGTTTTGTCCGACAAACAGAGAGGATGCTGCTTTAATGCATCGTGTTTCTTATCAAATCCCAGGGTTTAAATAGTGTGTTTAAAGGAGAGATGAACATTACAGCCTCAATAAATAATCAATGAGCGACTCCCTAAGCTTCTTTCTGAGCTGAGATATTACCATCAAAAACAAAGTGTCTGCAGCCAAGAAATCACCATATCAATGGCACATGCCACAACAACACGGCCCCGCCCCTTTCCTCAGAAAGATCATGCTAGATAAACCCCAAATAAGAGAGAAATTAACAAATGCTTGACATTTGCTCAACATCCATTATTCTGACACTTCTTTAGAATTTCAAAAGGCTGAACGCATGCTTAATCAACATTCATATTCCCAGAGTGAGCCCCGGCACCATATTGCAGCCCGCCTCGATGCTGATGAAAACGGCACATTAGGGCCCGATTTCGAAGAACGTTCAGGCGCCCTCACCAGGGAGTTGTGTAAGCGTGTGAGTAAGAGAGAGAGAAAGAGAGAAGATAAGGGAGTGACAGTGGTTGTGTTAAGAGGGGAGGGATGCTCTTTATTTGAAAGATTCTTCAGGAAAAGGGGCATCTGCCCCCCTTCTGGCACAGCCTCCAACTTTGAAGCCCATGTAAGCCATATGAGATGTGGGCTGAATGGTATTTTAAAGAGGGGTGTGATCATTACACCCAAATTCATTCATATTATAGCACAGACGGACACAGAGGACTCTCACACTCCCTCCCTCTTTTTCTCGCCCTGCTTACACAGACTCTCTGGGGACAAAGGGTGGAAGCATTGGCCCCCACCCCTCAGACCCTGGGGAAGCCAGGCAAGGCCTCAGAGAGCATCCCATCATTTCCAATTCTAATACATGGCAAAAGAAGGACCTGGTGGGCCTGATGTCACATATTTCCCCACACGGGCCATGAGAGGAGCCCTCCCACAGCCCCTCCACGCCCAGCTACGGTCCAGATACTAGACAGCACACCACGGCTGGCTAAGAGGAAGGCAGGGATGGAAGAAAGGGCAAGGATGGGGTTGATATTTGCATGTTCCTGCATTGTGAGTAGGGGTAAAAAGTGACAGCACCGTGTCCAATTCGCCCCCCCCTCAGAGCAGCTTGGGCCCAGCGAGAGAGGCCAGGCTGACAGATGACTCCCAACATCTGTGTTATGCGGGCGTTACAGATGAGGGACTCCACATCACCATCTCTCTTCTTCTATCTGTCTATAGGACACTCCCTTTCTCCTCCCACCACACATAATCACAGCACAGCAGAGAGGCTCACAGACGTTCTGTGGAAATTACCCTCGAATTGTCAATGGTAATGACGCGGTCCCAAGTGTTAAGTTGCCACCCTTTGAGCACCAAATGAAAAACTATAATGAATATCATTTAAATGTTTTTTATGGTATTTAGTTTGTGGATACCAGTCATTTTTAAATTTTTATCTTAGATATGGAAACTTGAATTTGAATAAAATAACTACAACTGTTTTATTCATTAACAGAAGGTGATTGAATCCAAATGAAGATGCCTGTTTTCATATTAGACAAAAAACAAATCCACAAATTGACATTAACAATGAACAATGTTAAAAAAACGGATTAAAAAAAAAAGTTAATACAGCCACCTGAACAGAAAGTGAGCAGAACTTTCACTCTATCGTTTTATTTCATTTGAGATAACTGAACCAAACCTGGTCTCCTCCGTTTTATATCAGTCCCAATACTACAGTAATACTGGTATCAAATACAGACGCCATCTTGAATTTGTGTTGGTGCAACAGTGAAAAGTTGATTCATGAAATGTGTGTGACTAATGGTCACTGTTCTTCAAACTCAACCAAAACATAGGTCAATAATAAAGTTAAACTTATTACAATGTCTTTATGCAAATATTTGGCAAATATCACACATGCAATAACATCGTTTTCCCTAGTTCAAAAATCCTCCAGCTGGTTGTCTCTAGTCTTTGGTTTAACTCACCGACATAACTTTTTTTACTCTTTCAGTTGTTGTTGCAGGGTTGATGATTATGAGCTTGGTTTCGTCAGATACTTTGTGTAAGCAGTATTGCAGTAAACTATACTGTGACCCTCACTCCTTTGTAGATACTTGCTTTGTACCCTGTCCATATATTGTCCCCACTTCCTCACCTCACTTGCCCTCCGTCACTCCGCTCCACTTGCATGCTTTAAAAACGTGGCAATAATTTAATTTGGTCATTTTTTAATTAAAAATTAAAAGACAGAAAATTATGTTTATAGTTTCTGCCTCCGTGCTTTGTGTCCACTACCATGGCCAACAATGTGGATTCTGATTCTAAATATAAATGTAGCTTATGCTGCAATTTTTTTTAAATTTCTAATCTGGTGAATTCCTGGGCAGATAATAATAAGGTATTTAAAAAAAGGTATATGGAAAAAATATAAGACCTCCAAACACCTCCCAAAAAGCCCCCCCCTCCCCCCCTCCCGTGTGACACTGGCTGACAACACATTAATTCACAGTTTTATTCAGTGTCGTTTCCAAGTCAACAGCAGTGAAATGCAAAATGATGTCGATATCCTTTACTATATCGCTGCTTATTATAATCCAAACAATCTTTTGCCCACCCAATCAGTGCAGGTCTGTCCACAACAACCCCCCCTCCTTCCCCTGCCAGCCTCAGCATGGCCAATATTTACGCAGTGGCAGGGCTCCCACACAGTCCGAAGGGACAGGAGGAGTGCAGGGAGGGGGGCGGCTGACTGCCGTGCCTGAGCGCATGCTAAGAGATGATGGATGGCCTAGTCGATATGTTATGTCTTAAGAGCCTGATTTCCTGCCAGTCCAATCACTAACCCTCCAGAGCCCAGCTCAGCTGATTGGACAACCAGAATAATTTCGCAGGCTGTGAAAACACGGCTGCCATGCCTGTCTGTCAGGGCCAGTGACGAGACTCAGGTTTTTAAAGTGCACGGGCCTCCCTGAGAATCGTTAAGGTGAACGGAAAAATAACAATAACCAGAGAGACTAAACAAAAGAGCCGGCACCTCGGGGAGAGAAAATCCTACAGAATTATTGGAAAGAAAACTCTCCAGTGTTTTTCTTTAATTACAACACCCACCAGTACCACTTTTTATACCAAAAAAATTGGCATTAGGACTGTTTACTGAAGACAGTTTGGATTAGGAAAGCATACGGAGAAATAAAAGTGAAAATAAACATGATGGAGACCTCCCACAGTCGGTATTTTAACATATAGGACACTGGACGCATCTCAAAGGCTTGAAATACTCTGCAAAAAAATGCTGACATTAAAAACAAAGGTCAACTCAAAATGTGGGTCAGTCCCCTGTGGGGCCCAATACTTTCTTTAAGATTGGTGATTAGGGCACAATAGAAGTAGATAGATCCAAATACATGTGACTTTGTAAGTGACCTCCGTGGACTCAGCCACACTGTCCTGGTGTCCTCATGGCCTTGGGGGATTACACATGTTACGTTCAATAAAGCGAGGGCCCTCAGTGTCAAGGAGAAAGGCAAACACAACCATTAACCTCTGGTTTGGATTACTCGATTTGCAGGCGCTGCGTGGCATAACTTCAGCTAATGCTATGGTAAAGGCCTCCGAAGGAACACAAATTAACTGAATTGGCAAATATAACAACAGAATTAAATGGGTTTATAAATATTTAATATGGGAGAACAAAGAAACACAGGCAGAATGTAGATGATGTTGCAATAAGTGCTTTTTTCCCAACAGTCTGTTTTTATTCTATTTTGCTGCTGCAAAACCAAACTGCACACCAACAACCAACAACTATTTCAAATAACAACACGTGATAGATGTGAACACAAAAGACATAAATACCAGGTCTGCTGATTTTTTTCACAGTCTGCACACAATTAATGTTAAAATGCTGCATAGGAAATTTACATTTATTTATAAGAATTACATGCTTTCTGGTTATAAAATGATTTGTTTAAATTACTTTTATGTGTCATTTCACTACATACGTATTTTCAATAGCACAGGCAAGAAAAATACATTTACACACAGTACACTGCACTCACATGCTGCATTTTCACTTAAAGTTTCAATTGACAAATGATCGCCCTCTAATACATAATATAATATATAATATATAATATAATCTTTGACAGTATGCAGAAACAGACAACCTCAGTAGGGCTGCTGGTTTTTATCCAGCCTAAAACAATTATTGTGAGTCTAAAGTGAACCTCTAGCTTAATGAAAATGTGGTTGAATTATTCACATACTCTGTGGTTCTTTTCTGACTGTACACTCTTGACAATGTCTAACTCTGCTGTCACCTAAACCGTATTCTGTATTTGGGCCAGTGCTATCTGGGATGGTTTTGGTGACAGTAGCTCCTGATCATTGTAAGTTTGAAACCCAAGTTTTTGTGTGAATCAGTGTTGCCATGGCAACTTGAACACAACAAGTATAAGTAGTACACTGATCACATGTAAGGGTGAAGAGGCTGCTGCTTTTTAGGATAGACATATGATCACAGAAAATTACAAATCCAGTAGAGACGGGAGAAAAAAATAGTTTTATAAATAACCACTTACTTTGGAAATCTTTCTTTGAGCATTTTCATACACTGGCGTGTTGGTCTTAGGTGTTCAGTCCACCTCACGATCTCTTTATATTCAGCTCTGGATAGCTTCATGCTGCTTCTTTTAGCTGGTAGAAGCACAGAGCAAAGCAGAAGCGAGAAAGAGAGATGAACGAACACAGAAAACCTGGATGTTAAAAATGTAAACAGCCCCAGCTGTCAAAATCAGCTGCAACAACATTGCTAACCGAATGCAGCTTCACGTTGGCACAGCGAAAGACTAACAGCATCCCCAGACACATGCAGTATTCCGCCTTATGTCACTCTTTGCATGAATAAACACCCTCATAACGGCGAAAAAACATTAATTTGCTCTTACCGCGGATTTTGGTTGCATGTGAAGCCCGAAAACAGCTCTGACAGATACTTCCCGCTAGGAACTCAAAGAGGAAACCTTGGTACAAACGACAATCTGATTGGCTGGATTGTTCAGAAAGCTGAGCATTGCGACGGTTGATTGGCGTTTTGAGAACAGTAGGCGGGACTCGCTGTTCCTCCGGCTGAAACCATATCAACACTCTGCATCATCAGCTGTTAGCAGTGAAAACGGGTGCAAGTAATGAAAAGCTGATTATTGCTCACGCGGCACGTAAAACCTCATGGTAGGTCGAAAAATGAAACTTAAATACTTCAGCCCAATCAAAGAAAACTGTATATTCGTGGAAATATAAGATATTCGAAAGGGAAGAGGGCGCCTACACTTGTGCGCATGTGGTACGGTGTAATATAACTATATGCTTACTACACTGCAGTTTATTTAAAGTACAGTCACTGAGAGGTTTTTTAATCTTATTTAGTCTCTTAATGGCCACAGTAAATATTTTTGTATATTGTTCTGGGGTTAAACGTGTATAGAACTTATACTATAGAGATATACGTTGTTTTTTCCCCCCAGAAGTTTCCTAGAAAAACTCAACTTGTGTGCTGTTATGGGAGCTCATTTTTCTGCAAGGGCAGAGCTTGAGGTGGATATTCCTTATATACCCAAGAAACCCAATTTTGTAATGAGTTAATAAATTACCAAATGTTACTTGTTTGACCATTTCAGTCTTACTTTGATGTTGAATTTTGTGTGTTTAAGAAACTAGATTGAATGAATCACTGCAAACATGTAAACTTCCTATGCCTGGAAAAGAAGTATATCCTGATGTTTTCTTTATAGCAGAGATTAAAACAAGAGTGTCTGTGTGTGATACTTATTGTATTAACCTTTTCCAAATGTATTTCCTTTATCTTGCAGGGATTTCTGTGATCCATTTGCAGCTGGAGGCCTCAGGAGGATTGACACCATTCACCTCACCAGCTACGGTAATATTTCAAGTGCATTCGTAGTCTCTGAATTAAATCCAAGGAAAACATAGAGTGAGGTGTAGAAAACTGGGAATAATGTTAGCACTATAAATTATTCTACGAAGTAAGTAAAATATGTTGATTCAACTACAGTGTCTGTAATCTCACAAATAATCAAACTTAACTTTATTTACTTTGTTTAAAAGGCAAAACACTTTAGTCAATGTTTTACAATAATGAACATTTTGGTTCAGTGTTTCTCTCAGTTGGACTTTGAATTATTTCGAATGATTTGACAAAATCTAGATAGAATGTAATATATTTTTATTTGTCATATTTGATATATTTTGCATTTTCTTTAGTTCATTCTATTAGATTTTTCCTTTTTTGGGGTGCAGATGAGGAGTGAAACAGTCAAGTAGTTTAACATTTTAGTGAGTTTTCTATTTTGTTTTATTGTTGGTTATTATAAGAATACAAATAAATAAATCCTAAAATCCTTCCCAAATCAAATCCAGATCTGTACGGTGATATCAGGTAATTCCAGGATAGAGTCCAACATTCTTTTGACATCAGTGTTGCTGGTTTCCTCCATTGTGAATGAACAATGCATCAATGAGCAGAAAGACTCTATCTGACCTGCGGTGCATCAGAAAATAGAGCCCATTGTTGTTGGGCAGTGTAGTATGATGACTGAGATGAGCCCAGGTCTCAGACTGTGTTCACCGGCACAGTCTCTGGCTTTGAAAGGGCTCGGCGCTCTGTGGTGGCTACAAAAGGGGAGCTGTGTAGTGGGATTGGTATTGGTCAGATAAGATCTGAGGCCTCTGAGGAAGTCTGGTCTGATTGCTACAAAGGGCTGAGGTCAGGGGCAGGAGGAGCAGCTTACTCATCTAGGTATCAGAGGATCAGTGGTTTTTGGTGGGGAGCCACGTATGTAATAAGTATAAAAGGATCGGTGTAGTGTGATGGTATAAAATGATATGAATGAGGAAAAAAAAAAAAGAAAGTTGGAAGGTAGTCTACTGTTACTGGCTCAGAGATCCAGGATTAGAGAATTTGTTGTGCGGAGGTATTTAAAGCCCTATTACCATAAAAGGTGCACTTTTTAAAAATGCAATCTAAGATCAGTGGTTTGAGGCCAAGTCCACACTGCATTATCAAACTGTTTGAGGGGGAGTGCTCTATACGGCATAGAAAGTCTGTGTACAAATGCAGGTGGGTTCTAAGAGCAAGAAATTATGCCGTAAAGACTTGTGTTTTTAGCAGGAACATATCAGGACTGGCCTGCCTGCGGTCCAGTTCTGTGTTTCGCTAAATAATTCTCACTCACGTCGAAGAGGAAATATTAGAAATTTTGGAACTCTCAAATAATCCAGGAATTGTATTGATGTATTAAAAAAAAAAAAGAAGCAGAAACAATATGATTTGTCAATAAAAACACTGACGCCTTTTCTTTGACTTTGTCCACCTGACAATTACAGACCTAACTGTACCACCAAATTACAGATGAGATTTTTTTTTTTGCATTTAAAAGAAACTCTAAATACTGAGGTTTGTATTTGAATCAGGTTGCGTTTGCATTGATCTCTAATGGCAGCTTGAGTGGCCTGTGATGAGAGAGAACCAGCCTATGGAGGAAGGTGCAGTAAAAAGATGCAGGGTTTGAAAAGACGAGTGCTTTGGATGCTGCATGTAAACAGGGCAGTGGTACACACCGTGCCGTTAACCAGCTGTGAAGACTGCTCACAGTGGGAGACGAATTTACAAAGAATGTCTCCCTCTGATATCCAGGAGACGCTGCACTGATCTCTGCTCCACTGCTCTCGGCACACCATTGCAGTGCTAAGCACGCTGCCACTAATGGCACTTATTTATATATACGGTAATGCCTGGAAAACATTTACATTTTGCTTGCAGCGGGGAAAGGAAAAGGCTGTGGCTGTACGGAAGAAAGAAATGATTAAATTGTAGGCTGTGGCTGTACGGAAGAAAGAAATTATTTAATGTTTTTTTGTTTTGTTTTTTATCGACAGCATCTTGCGAGGACTTTCCAGGTTGTGTAATTCCCTTTCCTCATCAGACTATTTAAGGAAATAGCCTCCATCGTGACTCCCTCCTAACGCCGGCTGCCTACAAATAGAGCATTTCGCTGCAGTAGATTTCAGCATTACTGTCATAATCTTTCCTTTTTTTCCACTCTGTGGAAGTCTGTGACTTCACTCCTCCGCACCACAGAAATCGCTCTGCGATCTCCAATCTTGGGGGAGTCTGGGATCTCAGCTCTTAAAAAAACACAGTTTGAACATGAGGCAAGCCATAACCAGGAAATGCCTGTAGTGTTAGCAAGGTATCGGATTCATGCGTTGCCCTCGGAACAGCATGACTGCCCCCGAAAATCCCACATCCATATTTTACGTCACGGGAGACAAGACACATGTGTTTTAGCCCAGCTCACAAAGCTGCTCCTACCATTTATTTTATTATCTTTTAATGAATTTAATTAGATGACATGTAATTAAATGCAACTGTGTTGCTCACCCTACAACACACGAACACACACAGATGCATGGTGAGTAAACAGGCAAACATTCTGGCTCCAAATTGCCTTAAAAAACATGTGCAACCTGAGCTGATTTGCTGGATTAATAGGGGATTGATAATATTTTGGGATAGTATTTCAGCCTAAATGGCTGCACGCGGAAACAAAGGCTGCAGCCCAGGCTCATTAATCATAGTCAACGGGTTCGCCCGGGTGCAATTTGCATGACCGGGGTGGCTGCACATGCTGCTGTTCAGCGTGGAGCTGCCTCCATTTGACCAGACCGTTAACGCGGCGTCAATCAAGAACAGCCCTAATATTAATATGACAGAAGAAGAAGGAGGAGAATGGGGGGAAAAAAAAATCTTTTTTTTTTCTTTATTCTATTTTCCTGCATTTTTCCCCCCTCTCTCCCTGTCTGGAAAAAAAAAATACATTCAGTCCCAATTAAAGTGACAAATAAAATAATTTATTCAACATTTGTTACAGCATTTATTTTAGATATTAATCATATGGACCATCAAAAATAAATAAATAAATTCACCCTTTTTCAATGACTTCTGGGATAATTATATTTAGTTGAAATTTAGGAGTATGCAAAAAAAAAAGTGCCTTAAACAATTTTGCATTTTTGGCCGAAATTGTTTGTTTTGTTTTTTTTTTGGTCACATCTTTCTATTGTAACTGTGGATAATTGGCTTGAAGCTGATGCAGTGGGGTTCACAGATGAAGCCCAATTTCACAAAGCTTTAATCTCACAACTGGCTCCATCCGGTGAATTCTAATTATCTGACGATGAACTTTGAGAGAGAGAGACACTGTTTTAATATTTCCTTTACTGTTGTGTTTGTGTGTCTTCTTTATGCCTGCATGTGCTGTGTGTGTGTGTGTGTGTGTGTGTGTGTGTGTGTGGGTGTGTGTGGCAGTATCACCACACACAGACATGTGAACGTGGCTCGTGTCTGGTCTGGACTTTTCGTTGCCGAGGCTCACGCTGTGCTCTACCCCCCTCTCCACCCCCCACCCCCC